GAGGGAGGGAGGGAGGAAGGGAGGGAGGAAGGGAGGGAGGGAAGGAAGCAGGCCAGACTCAAAATGCTATACACTGTCTGGCTCTGTTTACAAACTACAGGCACAGGAAGTAGACCAGTGGTTGCCAGGGCCCAGGGTTGGGAAGAAGGGTCAACTGCCAAGGGGAGAATGTTTCGGATTGAAGGAACTGTCCTCTGGTTGTGGCTGTGGTGGTAGCTATTCGACGATGTTTGTCAAACCTCCTAATGACACACTAAAACAGGTGGATCTTACTGTATGTAAATTACACCTTAGTCTAAAACAATTTAAAAATATATATTAATGGTAGAATCTAGATGGTGGGATGATGGGTATTCAACGCACAATTCTTTCAACTTTTTTTTTAAAGAAATTGTATTGGGGAACAGTGTGTTTTTCCAGGACCCATCAGCTCCAAGTCAAGTCGTTGTCTTCAATCTAGTTGTGGAGGGTGCAGCTCACTGGCCCATGTGGGAATCAAACCGGCGACCTTGGTGTTATAAGCCTGCGCTCTAACCACCTGAGCTAAGGGACCGCCCCCTTATTTCAACTTTTTGATGTGTTTGAATATGTTCATAATCATATGTTTGGCAAAAAAATATCAAAAAGATAGTAGGTGGTTGATAAAAATAAATGTACGCATGACCACAATGAACAAAACAAATAATTCAATAAAAAAATGAGTCATTTCACTTTTCAAATCTTAAATAATCCTAAATAATAAATAAAGCATTAGTGGGTCATGACCCACTAAATTGATTTTGTAAGCCATGGATGGGCCATGGCCTAACCCTGGTCTAACGCCATTTGAAGGATATGGCGTTAGACCAGGGTCAGGCATGTGAACTTTAGCTGGAGAGAGCCCGGAGGCAGACTGGGGCCCCCAGCAGTGGGCTGAGCTGGGCCGAGTCCCTGATTTGGGACCAGGGCTAGTTGGAGGTCCTGGAGAGTAGCTGGGGCCTGTGCTCAGCTCAGGAAAATGGCTGCCTGGTGTCCCCAGGGAAGCTGAGCCAGGAAAAGAATCTCGGGGTGACAGCAAAGGGCAGTCCACAGTCTGGAAACCTCTGGGGTGCATGAAAACCGCAGGCCCTCCCCCACCATCTGGACTCATCACCCTGGATTTTCACAGGACTCTGGATGGGGGAAGGTCCCCCAGGGTGACAGGGATCAGCTTTCTTACCAGCTTTGTCACGTAAGAAACACACAAGGTCAGGCTTCCTTTATTAGTAAAATCCTGTTTTCTGCATCCAAGACGATTGTGATTGGGGACTACTTTATCTTTATTATATCTGAATTATATACTGGAGTTACAGTTAATTTCTATTTATAACAGGGTTCATACATAAGAAAATGCTCTGCTACTCAAAAGTTCAAGTCTGGAAACCTCTCACTCAGACTCATTTCTGCAGTGTTCAGGCTTATGTCTGAATATGGGTCTTACCTGCCCATGGTCTTGGAGCTCGAGAAAAACCCCGTGTCTTCTTAACCAGCCTCATCTCTGACCTCTGAGTCCTTTACCCAACGCTCAGAATACTCACAGCTCTGAGGACCAGCAATGCCTTTCATATCTCTTTGCCTTTGCATAGACCTTTTTCCTCTCTCACCCCCCACCCCACCGGTGAACTCCTATTCATCCTTCAGTACCCTGCGTAAGCTGCACCTCATCCATGGAGGCTTCCCTGGATCCCTTTTCCCTAGGACAGACACAGTGATTCCTTTTCTGCATTTCCACCTATCTGTGCATGCAGCATTAAACCCAGACCAGCTTTCTCTCTGGGTGAGAGAAATGCCATAGGAATTGGTTGTTCCAAATAAAATAAAATCTGATACCAAGTCCTCATGTTCCTATAGTTTGATAAATTACTCTCAGTGACTGCGGGAGTCTCTCCCTGTCTCCAGGGTAAAACAGAGGGTAGAGGTGACCTATGGAGTGCAGACGTCTACAGGCTCTGAAAAGGCACCACTGAGCAGCTGTTGTCAAATTCTGCCTGCCCCTGGGAGGTGGGTGTCCTCTCATGAGTGTCCCAGCAGTGGTTGGGTCAAGCCTCCCCTCCTAGCATCATGCACTCACTCACACTGGGGTCTCATCATCTCCCTGGGCACTTTGGGGGCAGGACAGCATCCTCGCACAACCCAAAAATGCTCGCACCCTCTCTTCCCAGTTTGGCAGTTCTCCCCTCCTGAGGCCCCTGCTCTGTCCATCTCCTCCAAGCACTTCTCTGTTCCCTTCCTCCCTGGGAGCTTGTATTGGAAACACAAGGTCAGGTTCGCACGCATAGCAGAGGGGGCGAGGGATGCTGAGGCCAGCCAGTTTCGGGCTAACTCACGCCCTGTTACTCATCAATCAGCACTTACTTCATTGTGTTGCAGCGATTTCTTTCCCTGACTGGGCCTTCCTCTGAACAGTTAGGGTCTTTTGAGGTCAAGGACTACCTCATTGACCTTGGTCTCCAAAAAGCTGAGAGTGGGCCTTCTAATTGCATAACCGTGGCAAGTTTTTTAAAACTCTTTGAGCCTGTTTACTTGCCTGTAAAATGAGGACAGCAAGAATCCCAGTCTCATAATAGTGAACCAAGGTAACACACGTTAATCCCTTAGAACAGTGCCTATGACTCAGTTAATATTCGCTGCTATTGTTACTTTTTATCCTCATTATTGTTACTGGCCATAGATGTTTGGTTGCCTCCCCAACAGTCATTCCCAACTCCTTTTTTCCACCATAGAGACTGAAAATGCAAAATATTCAGCTTGCCAACCTTGCTTGCAGCTGGGACCCAATTTGGGGTCATAGGACTTGAATGGAAGTGTGTGCCAAAGGCTTCTGGGAAAGATTTTCCTCTCCGATAACAAAACAGAGAGCTAGGAAGAAACTTTGGACACTGTCATGGAGAGAGGTGATGCCTGGAGCTGTGGCAACCATTTTGTGACCTTGAGGGCAGCGCTAAGGATAAAAGTCAATATGCTGAAGAGGTCAGAGCAGAAAGATGTTAAGGTCAGGGGCCTTCATGACATTGTTGAGTTGCCGCCCCAACCCTGGGACCTCCTACCTCAGAACACTTTGTGAAATTATATCTGAAATGTCCTCATTATAAAGGCCAATTTTAGTTGGGTATTCTGGTATTAGCAGCTGAAAGTATTTCACTGAATACATTAGTATGGACATGTATACTCAGTAACTGTTGAAAGAAAGTGGGAGTGCCAGGATGGAAATGTTGAACTCCTGAGGCCAAGGCTTTTGAGGAGCGCCCCCGGTTCTCCATCCCGCACTCCCCCATCCAGACTCACATTTGCAAAAGTGCTGGCTGCCAACTGCCGTCATCATAGGTGGGTAATGCTTCTTGGCTGGCCCACCTAGTATGTGGGTTGGCCTCATGGGCAGTTTCACAGTCTGTCCATAGGAAAAGGACATGTAGCAAAAGGAAGGGAAACAGGAATTACAAGTGAATAATCCAAACTCCTCGGGCTTTTTGGCTCCATCTTATCACACAGCCTTGTTCACTGAATAGGGGGTGTCCTGTTATCCAAATTGCAACATCAGGTTCAGTCAGCTGCTGGCTTGCAAAGAAACCATTACATATCTTCTAGCCTGTTTCAGTATTTCGAACTTCATTTTGCTACGTTCTTCTTTCTCGTGTATCACAGACTGTCTTTCTGTTGCTGAGAAAAGGGAGGGGAGGGGTGTGTGTCTCTTGTTTCTGGTTAATTCTGTGGCTAGAAGAGATTTCGTGGGAAAGACGAATGCACAACATATTTTTACCACAACAACTACCGGTCCCGTGGTGATGCAGGATGTTGTAGGAATGACTGGTGTGTGCCCTTGTACAGGTTCATGTATGACCTAACGCTTCTTGGTTTGGCGCTCCGATGGCAGGTCAAACACCAGCTAAAAAGCAAGGAGTAGTGGAATAAACCATTTTAAAAATCTGATCAGTCTCCTGTTGCCGAGAAGTGTCATTTCTCTGCCCCAATGCTTTCTCGAGCTGCCTTGTTCTTCCCCGTGTCACCACATTTCTGTGAATCTCACTGTATTTCATTTCCATGCTCACACACTTTCTAGGGTCAACACTGGAAGCTTCACTAAACACCTGGGACTTTTTTTTCCACCTCTCCCCCGGTCTCCTCCACCTCTGCAGCCGCTCATTCTTCATGGAAAGTTGTGCTTTTGTGTAGATTTACAAGATTCCCTACTGACTCTTTAATCCCCCTTTTCTCTTTTCATCCTGTCCTCCGAATGGAATCATTCCCACGCCCTCCTTTTTCCTGTAGCATTCATTCTCCCTTTGTTCAACTCAATCGTAAACTTACTTTTCCCTTCTTGGATAGGATACATGCCCGGTATCAAAGTTTCAACATGCGTATGTCTACAGCCAGTGAACATTGTCCCCTGGGTCTACTGCCCACCAACCCCTCTGCTCAGAAGGAGCCTCCCCATAAGTAGCTGGAGATACTCGCGCTTTCGGACCTTGCACAAGCAGAGGCATCGTTTGACAGCGTGGTTCTGACCACAGCTCTGTGCTAATAACTCCCAGTGTCTTCACCTGGCCCCACTGTGCTCTGCAAACACGTAAGACCAAAGTCAACATCTTTCTCCACTCTTACTTCTCCTCTGTGTCCTCAGTTAACTGTGTCGCCATCCAATTAAGCGGGAAAAGGTGTCATCATCTTTGACTTCCCTCTCTGTTTCTTTCTCTTCCCCCTTTTGTCTCATGAAAACAGTCATGAACTGCCATGGTCTGTCCACACCACGTCTGTATTCATTTTCACAACTGGCCTATTTTCCTCTCCCTGCTGTTTCTGCCCTGGTCCAGGCCCTAAATCTGTCTCATCTGAACTAAAGTGACATCCTTCCATGCTTTCATTGCTGGTGGCAGCCTCTGTCTAGAGCCTACCCAGTCCCACTGCACCCTTCTCCTTCACACCCCATCCAGGTTGCAATGGCTGCTTCCAAGAGATTGAATCATGATTGACTGTAAGAGTGATCCTAATCTCCTTTAACAAATTCTCACGTTCCCAGGCTCCTTTGCAGCAAGGGGTGGCGGTATGATTCAATTCTGGACAGTAAGACACGCAGGGGAAATCTGGAAAGAGGCCAATGAAAAAAAATACCTCGCCCCTTCCCCACCCCAATCCCACGGTACCATCACCTAACATATAACACATTTATGCTTTAGAAGTTTAAACTCTTTAGGCTGACATTTGAAGCCTATACAACTGTCTATTTATTTTTCTTCTAACATGACCCACTTTTCACCACAAACCGCATGCTGAGGCCTGGGGGTAGGAATCCTAAGTGCAGGGATGTCCTCCATGGTAGCTGGTCTCCCAAGATGGCCCCAGAACAAACCCCACCTCCCAAGGTTCACAATCTGGTGCCGCCCCCTCCCACGCTGAACCAGCTGCACTGGTTCTTTGAAATATTTTAACTCCTGGAATGCAAATAACATGATGCTGGGCCCATCTGGGCCCAGACGACCTAGCAGCTTCTGCGTTTGCATCCTCGGGAGCCCTCAGCCACCAGATAAGCAACCTGATGGTGCTGAGACCACCACGCGGTGAGGAAGTGTAACCTGACCACAGGAGAGTCTACGTGGAGGAGAACTGAGAATCTCCACCAACACAGAGCCAAGGCCCCACGGTCAGGATGGAGTTTGAGTCATTCCAACCAGCTCTCACCCACTGGTGTCCCCTGAGCAGGCGCCATGTGGAGCAAAGACAAGCAGGATAAGTTGGGGTGAAAAAGTCACTGAAAATCACTTCTCGTCAAAGTCAAAGTCTTCCCTTTCTTAAAGAAGGGCTGCTATTCTCCTGTATCCACACTTTGCTTATATTTCCCTTTCAGCTTCAGTTTGCTTTCCCTCTCATCAAATTCATCCCATCCCTCAAGGCTCATCTTGAATGCCACCTCTTCTGTAAAACCTTCTTGATTACCGTATTTGCCGGCGTATAAGACGATTTTTTGGCCCTGAAAAATATGCCTCCAAGTGGGGGGGTCGCTTATACGCCAGGTACACTTCAGATAGACTGCCCATAGTGCTTGCCCCGTGCCATAGTGGCCTCCCGATGCCCGCCCACTTCATTCCACATACCGTTCAGGCATCAGCAGCGCTGCTGGGTGTATGCTCGGCTGTTATGCGATTTTGCTGTTATGCGATTTTACCACACTCGCAAAATCTACGGTACCAGTCTACAGAGTGTGTTTTCTTTAGTGAATTACCGGTATGTTTACCGGTAATAAACTTGCATTGTTTTATGTATATGTTTGATTACATACAGTCTTGTGACAGTTTTCCTGCATGTCATAAGCATTTGAATATAAATTAAAATGTTGAAATCAAATCTGATATTGTTTTACCTTTTATTTGGTGTGTGGAAGGTGTGCGGAAGAGGGGGTAGTCTTATACGGCGAGTATATAACAAATTCTGTATTTTGAGTGGAAATGTTAGGGGGTCGTCTTATACGCCCAGTCGTCTTATACGCCGGCAAATACGGTATGTCAACTCTGAACACGGGTATTGTAAGCAGGTGTGTTCTTGCCCACCTGCAACTTCCCTAACCTGGTGAGGAAATAGACATACAAGCCCAGGAAGCACAGAGAGTCCCAAACAGGATGAACCCAAAGAGGCTCACACCAAGACACATCATAATTAAAATGCCAAAGGTTAAAGACAAAGAGAGAATCTTAAAAGTAGCAAGGGAAAAGCAATTAGTTTTGTACAAGGGAGCTCCCATAAGACTGTCAGCTGACTTCTCAACAGAAGGGATTGGCAGGAAATATTTGAAGGGATGAAAAGCAACAACCTACAGCCAAGATGACTCTACCCAGCAAGGCTATCATTTAGAATCAATGAACAGATACAGAGCTTCCCAGACAAGAAAAAGCTAAAAAAGTTCATCACCACCAAACCAGTATTACAAGAAATGTTAAAGGGGGCCGGCCGAGTGGCTCAGTTGGTTAAGAGCACGAGCTCTGAGCAACAGGGTTGCCAGTTCAATTCCTGAGCTGAGCTGCCAATGAGCTGCCAACAAGTGGTAGGATGGCTCAGCTGGTGAGAGCACGTGCTCCTAACAACAAGGATGCTGGTTCAACTCCCATATGGGATGGTAGGCTACCCACCCGCAACTAAGATTGGACACGGCACCTTGAGCTGAGCGACTGTGAGCTGCCAACGGGTGGCCAGATGGCGACTGGACTTGGAGCTGAGCTTAGCTGAGCCTTCCACAACTAAGATTGAAGGACAACAACTTGGCTATTCCTCTTCCCCAATTCCCCAACACTGTTCCCATTCCCCAATTCCCCAGTAAAATCTTTAAAAAACAACAAAAAAGACACATTAGGCCAGGTGGATTTAATTGATATTTCTAGAACATTTCACCCAAAAGCAATGAATATACATTCTTTTCAAGTGCACATGAAACATTTTCCAGGATAGACGACATGTTGGGCCACAATATAAGTCTCATTAAATTTAAGAAGACGGACATCCTATCAGCATCTTCTCCAGTCACAATGGTATGAAACTAGAAATCAGTTACAAGAAGAAAACTGAAAAACACTTGGAGGCTAAATAATATGCTACTATTATACAATAAATGAGTGAACAACAAGATCAAGAAAGAAATCAAAAGAGGGGCTGGCCGGTGGCTCAGTTGGTTAAGAGCGTGAGCTCTGAACAACAGCATCACCAGTTCAATTCCTACATGGGCCAGCGAGCTGCGCCCGAGCTGAGCTTCCACTGAGCTGCCAACAGGTGGCAGGAGGGCTCAGCTGGTGAGAGCACGTGCTCCTGACAACAAGGTTGCTGGTTCAACTCTGCATGGGATGGTGGGCTACGCCCACCTCCGCCTCCCCTGCAACTAAGATTGAACATGGAAACTTGCGTTGAGCATCCGAGAGCTGCTGACAGGCGACCGACCAGGTGGCGACTGGACTTGGAGCTGAGCTAGCTGCACCCTCCACAACTAAGACTGAAGGACAACAACTTGGCTGTTCCCCTTCCCCAATTCCCCAACAAAATCTTTTTAAAAAAAGAAAGAAATCAAAAGATACCTTGAGACAAGTGAAAATGAAACTACAATGACCCAAAAATCTATGATTCACAGCCAAAACAGTTTTAAGAGGAAAATTCAGAACAATATGGGCCTATTTTAAGAAACAAGAAAACTCTCAAACAATCTAAACTTACACTTAAAGGAACTAGAAAAAGAACAAACAAAGCCCAAAGTGGGTAGAAGGAAGGAAATAATAAAGATCAGAAACAAACAAAATAGAGTCTAAAAAATAATAATAGAAAAGATCAACAAAACCTAGAGCTGGTTCTTTGAAAAGATAAAACAAATTGATAAACCTTTGGACAGACACATCAAGAAAAAAAAAGAAAGAGGACCCAAATAAATAAAATTAGAAATGAAAGAGGAGAAGCAACAACTGACACCACAGAAATACAAAGGATTAAAAGAAAATACTTCAGGGCCGGCCGAGTGGCGCGATGGTTAAGAACTGGCTTGGGATGCCAGAGGGCCCCGGTTTGGATCCCACATATGAGGGCCAGTGACACTGCCCTCCACAGCTAAGATGGTGAACAACAGCTCAACCTGGAGCTGGGCTGCTGTGAGTCGCTGGCGACGGCGTAGGCTGCAGCCCCTGTGGCAGTGGGTTGCCATGGGCTACTGTATGTAGCCAGCAGCCAGCATGAGCGGCCAGCAGCCAGTGTGAGCGGCCAGCAGCCTCAGTGAGCGGCCGTCCAGAAGCCGGTGACTGATGTGCCTCGCCCAGGAAGAGCGCAATGATGGTGCCAACTTGGGCCAGTGAAGCAACATCCTCCACAACTAGACTGAAGAACAAAAGGACAGCAACTTGTCTGTTCCCTTCCCCAATTCTCATT